GAAGGTGAGAATTTAGGACTTGATAATAATAGATTTTAATTTCTTAAATAAGAGTAATACATTGGTAAAGTGCATAAATAGGACCACCAATGTTTCCTTTCTAAATAATAACCACCAATATTATAATATTATTGATTTAGACAGAAGAGGGTTATACAATTTTTTATAAATGTTTAGAGTTTTTTGAATGGTTATTATTATTATCATTATTATTTTCCATGTTAATTTAGACAAAAAAAGTTTTACAATTTTTTTTAAAGTTAGGCCTATTTCATTTATCCACCCCTTGCCTTCAAACATACAGGATCAATCCTGTTTCTTGGTATATTATATTATGCTTGAGTGTGACATTTTTCGTCATGAAATTAATCTTGAATTTATATCTTGCTACTAATCAAGAGAACTTCAGAATGCGTTTTTAGTTTGTTTAATCTTTATAATGTATTCATATTTATAGTTTTGATCATATAAGTCCATTGAGTATATTGGAAAATATCTTTTCTTCACTCATATTATCTTTACATATATATAGAGTGGAAAGGAATATTGTTTCATATTCATTATCCACATAAGACATAAAGATTGAGGATATCCAGATTACTTAAATTCTTATTGTAATGGTTAAACGAGAGCCGTTAATTTAAATATGTTATTATAGTGATTGAGTATAGCCTAGCTAGTTAGATCCTCCTTGAATTGGTTGAAGATAGCTGTTCTACGTGAGGATAGGTGTATAACATCCTCTTGTGAGTTATGATCATATAGGTGAGGATTATTTACCAAAGTTTTTGCGATTCCATTGCACAAATTTGATGGGATTGAATGTCTTTCTTAAAACTTCACATTAAAGGCACTTTGTGTTTCTAGATCTAGGTTTCGCCAAACCAAAACACCATAAACCTCATTATCTCATCACTTATTATCCTTATGCTTAGCTAATCATCTATGCAATAAATTCAACAAATTTTTAAATGCACACTTTGACATACTTTGGAAATCCATTTTGGCTATTAATACTCAAATGGCTATCAAAAGAAATTTGGAACATGTTATTTATTTCCTTTCAAACAAGAAATTTGGAACATCCTAAACATGCAAAAAGATTAGGTTAAGTATCGAGGCTTCTGTTAGTTTCTGGATCAATTACTTTTTAGGGGACGCCTTTTATTTTATATATATAAGTGCACGTAATTAACACCACCTAGGATTCATGCATTCTTTAATTTTATAGATTTCGTTGTAAAAATACATGCATGTGACTAAGAAAACCACATGTAAAGTATACACTAATACACCAGTATATATACGTGTGAGCCGAAAGAACCACATGCAAATGGATGTGACAATAATAAAGCAAATGTATGGGATACTGATCCCTCCACCTCACCCTAGAATTAACTTTATGGATTGAATTTAGTATAAATTATGTTCAGAGACATATTTTGTATACGAAATCCACACACAAAAACTAGCCTGTGTGAAAGGTTTGCATAAGTAGCAAAATTGCGCACAAATAGGGGCTCTTATTAGATCGATCTTCACCGATCCTAAAATTTGAAAAACACTTGGATTCGAGGTCATTTGTGATTCTGTTTTTTGATTTATCAGTCTTATTAGCCGACTTTTACACCATACATGTAATTTTTAATTACGTGCGCTGAATTATGTAATAAAAAAAGTATGGTTGACGTTATTTTTCAGACTGGATTGGTTGGAGACTTGGAGTTACTCAAATGTCAATTTCAACTAGTCATATTTTTTTCTTTATTTTAATAATAAATTTCTCATAATTCAGCATAATCAATAATCAAATCACTTTAGCCAGAATTTCATAAATTTTAAGAGCACGAGTTAATTTCATTATTACCAAACGGACTTTATATTTTATGTATTAAAAATTGTATAAAACGTATCAAAAAAAATTCCATATAATTGACCACCGCTTCAAAAAATTATGGGGTTGACACGAATTTGAAACAAATTAAGCAATGATTTCGTGCCGAATAGCTCGAGCTAGCCAAAGTTTTTTGACGCAAATTTGATATATCCTTGTTAAATCCCTCATTTAGCTCAAAGTTTTTTGACGCAAATTTGATACTACGTATATTCTTGTTAAATCCCTCATTCAGCTCAAAATTTTTTGACGCAAATTTGATATATCCTTGTTAAATCTCTCATTCATTTCTCGAATCTTTCTCAAAAATCTCATTTAACATATCCTTGTTTTTTGTAGTTTGTAGACTTGTAGTGCACTTTAGCAAAATATGGTGACGACTGACGCTAATGTGTAGGACGACTGTGATATTACCCGATTCATCCAAAACGTGACAACATTGACCTATTTCACTTTCTTTATAATTAAACGTCCCCGCCTACTTGGTCGGTCCAAGACGTGCCAACAAAACTCATCTCTAATTCGCTATCAATGTCATTATAAAGGTGACTACAAATGTTCTATCATCATTGGCGTTGATTTCCTTGGCTGCATCACTTGTAGTGGGGTGGTGTCAATGAGTCTTAGTCAAATATAACACTTGTATTATTATTGATAATAAACCTTAATAAACCTTATCTTCAGTTTGGGTAAGCATCAATGTATCAAAGCTTGTTACAATCTTTAGGTGGACCTTTCTAGCATAGTCCAAGGATATTATTCTTGTAAGTCGTAACACAATTATGTCAAGTTTAATACTGCCTAAGATTACTACATTAGTATATGATTCCTATGACCTAATATTCTAATATTAATTTTGATTTTTACTTAACATGTGGATTAAGAAAATGCATATCATTTCGTCTAAAGGGGTACATAACAAAATGAATAATAGTGTCCCACTAACTTTTCACATAGCTTAAGATAATTTATGCACTTTTTTAAGAAGCAAGAGTTTTGATACTATAATATAGCAACACACATTATTTACTTTATTAAAGTGACTGTAACTACTTTTAAAGTGACATACTTATTTTGATTACCCAAAAATGAATGTGTGACAATTACTTTGATAGGGGAAGAATATGAACTTATGAACCACAACTTCTCTCAAAGAAGAAGGAAGATAATATGGGAAGAGATTTCAAAAACGGCAAGTTAAAAAAGGTTTCATACTATGATTTTACTTGGACTATAATTTGTTGGTCTGGATGGTCTGGTCTGATTTGATTTGATCTGGTCTGGTCTGATCTAGTCTGGTCTGATTTCTTTGTATTTTCATAACTATCCAATTCTGGTCCGGTCTGATCTGGTCTGAGCTGGTCTGATCTGGGACAGATTAGAATCCAAGTAAAAACCTATGTTTAAAAAACCGACCCGACCCGGCCGGATTGACCCGGAACCCGGTGACTCGGACAAAAAACCGGTTCGGTTTTTTCAAAACCCGGAAATGGTCAAAAACCGGAAAAACTCGGCTGACCCGGGAAAACCCGGTCAAGACCCGGACCCAAGGAACCCGAAAAACTGGGCAAAACCTGGTTTTTGGGCGTTTTTACCAAAAAAAAAGTAATTTCTTTTTTATTTTTAATGCATTTTTTATACCAATAAAATTGCAATTTCAATACCTTAAAAAGAAAAACTACGTAATATATTTATATATTTATTTAAGAATGGACATCATGCCAAATTATAATATAGATGTACAATAAAAATAAAAATATCATTATATATTTTTATAAGATCAAAATATACATTGAAATATTATAAGAGTGTATTAAATGCTTAATAAGTAGTATTGTTAGTTGATTATTATGAATAATAACTAATTTTTATTATAATTTTATATATAATTATATGTTTACTATTATTATATAGACGTATAATCATTGACCAGTTTTTCGGCGTTGACCGGGTTGACCTACCGGGTCCGGGTTGACCCGTGACCCTATCATGTGGCCGAGTCACTCTCCGGTCCGGTTTTTACAATATAGGTAAAAACATCCTTATTAGTTTGTGAAAGGTTAATTAATAGAGCCGAGTCTGAAACGACCCTACTTTGAACACAAAAACACACGAGTGCTCAAAAACTCCTATAGGCATTAGCCGCCATACCCCACTTTAAGCACTTGCCGAGGAAAAAGACATACCTACTCTTCTATCCTTTTTGTATTTTTGTTTGTCTTATACTTGTACTAATTTTTAAATAATCGTATGTTTTGAAATAATGAGTACTACTTCGTATTCATTGATATATTTAATATAGGGGGTTCTGTTTAGACGAAACAAGAAAATTTTAAAATATCCAAAGTATTTTGTATAGGCGTGTACATATATTATTTAAAAGCATTATTGCTAATATCCAGTCAGGTCTCAACAAATATACACCTAGGTAGATGCTTCAGGACCCGTTTGGGTGTATTGAGAGTGTTCACCCTTTTTGTAATATAAAAGCGAGATTTTCAAAATCATAAAAGGTGGTTTTTAATTATTTGCAATCAGTATTCAACTTGCATGACTCGAATTGTTGGATTTTTAGGAGATTGAGTCGATATAAACCAATATAAAAATATTACAATTAACATATAAATTTTAGAGAGAACGACGAAAGATTATATTTATCATATAAAATGACTGTGATCAGTAGAAATGGTTCAATATAAGATCAAAAACAAAATTAAAGCTCACAAATATATAGGATCGACTAGGTATATTTTATTCCTCAAATACGACTTGTATAGTTTTATTAAAAAAATAAGTTGATTAATAAAGCTTTCCGAAATATGAGTCAATCCTATTTTGGGGGAAAAAAATATGATTGTCCTATTCACAAATTTCTTTATTGTTTTAGCCTTAGTTGAGGAATTTCGTGAATGGAATAAGTCAAAATGACCCCATTGAAATTAAGCTTAGCCCTTTTTACAAGCACACCAGGGGTTTGACTAATTAAATAATACTTCAGAATTATAAGTCGTACAAACATTATAAATGGGACACTCAAATATTACTTCAGAATACTTGCTCCAATTTCATAAAAAATGTTTCTGTATTTCAAAATATAGGTGTCATATTTTTATTTTCTAAATAAGAGTAATTAATGTCATGTTTTGACAATACTATACTTTAAACATGATACATAGTACTTCCTCCGTAACAAAAAAATCTTCTCACTTTCCTTTTTGTCCGTAACAAAAAAATCTTCACATTTCTCAATCTTCCCATCATACCGCCAATAATTCTTAAAATAATACACTATTACAACTACTTTTTTTGGATTTATCCTAGAAAGAATGGCACAACTATTAGTTGGGGACTTTTATTAGACCAAAATATGACCAAATTTCCTTTAGACAAAAAAGAGAGTAAAAGCCCGTCAAACGTATACGCCAACTTATCTTCCGATCTTTCGCTCCCACCCCTAGCCGGCCTCCTGTACCCCTTCGATCTGGTGTCCATCTGAGCAGCACTCCGCCGATAACAATGAGTGGTGTCGTCGGCGTTTCTTCTCCTTCTCATTTCTCGTCCCGTCCTCTGTTGCCTCGCCGCCGCCATCGCTCCTCTTCTCCTCCATCGTTGGAGCTGAAATCGACTGCTCTTTCACAAAAATCCACTCGATTAAATCCAAGTTTGTTTGTTGTTCCTTGGTCGGAAATTGATACTCTTCAAGATCTATCGGTTGGATTTCCAAGATTTGAGATTTTTGACCGAAAACAACCAGCAACACAAATCTGTCCTCCATGGCCGTCGTGCTGTCTGCATCGCTCCTTCTCAGATTCGATCTCAAATCGTGAGGATGAGATTGTAAGGGCGATATTGGGGAAGAATGAAATCCTAGGGTTTTGGTGGTTGCGCAGTCGAGTTACGACGGCGTACGGGAAGGTGAGAGGCTCAGAAGGGGGCTCGTAGAATTTTTCATGGGGCTGGGGGCGGGATTCGGATCAGGGGCATGGGAAGCTAGGGAGGGGGCTGGAGGGGGGCTGGGGAGGGTAGGCTGGGAGATGGCGATGACAGTGGTATCTGAGGTGAGTCAGATGGCGGCGGCCACAATTTTATGCAATGGTGGCCGGAGTCTGTGGTACGATTGCTCCGAGCATGGTGGGACAATATAGGTGTTGTTGTGATGTTGTCAGCCTAGATATCACTATTACACACATGTGGTTGGGGTTGCGGAGGGAGATAGTGGCCTGGGGTCGTTGGAAAAATCGCAGGAAAAGTCATCGGACACGGGCGGTGGCTACACTGACACGGGCGGTGGCTACAATGACACGGGCGGTGGCTACAGTGACACGGGCGGTGGCTACAGTGACAGGGGCGGTGGCTACAGTGACACGGGCGGTGGCTACAGTGACACGGGCGGTGGTTGTAGTGACACGGGCGGTGGTTGTAGTGACATGTGTGATTACTGTAGTTGAAAAAACGAACACGCAGTGACATAAAATTTTTGCAGTTACATAATGTTTTCTAATTGCACTTTATATATATGACCTTCTTGATCACTTTTTTGCCCCTTTTTAAAAGTGATCACTTTTTGGACAATTGGTTCAAAATTAGTAATATCCAAGTAAAAAACCCTTTATCCTACATTCCATCACATTATTCAACTATCTTCTCATCATACCCTCAATAATTCACATCATCTTTCACTATTCTTAATCTACCTACTTTTGAAAAGGGAAGATTTTTTAATTACGGAGGTAGTAGTATTTTTCAAGTTTGATTGTAATGACTACTGTTGAAGTTTAGTCCAGAGTCCTGTAGATCCGAAAGCCCAACACACGCTTTGAATATTAGGGATGTTAGTTTTGGTTAAAAGGTGTATAAAATAAAACAGTGGATTAAGACTGAACTTAGAAGCTAACTTGTATTACGTAATTCTGTGATTACACTGAAACTACCCGAACGGTCTGTCGGTATGAGTTTAACTGCAAGAACAAGAGAGATGATTCTATTGCTAAGCTCTGAGTATGAAATTGCTAACCCTTTACAATGTATTAAACACAGATATTTATACTAGAGAGGGGGTGAGTGAGATGGACACGTGGCCGAACCAGGTAGGCTGTTACCTCTGCCACGAGTGCACCCATGCCTCTACTTGCTACCGTCATACTTCAGCATTAATTGCAGTTTGCCACTTGCTGATCCCCTGGTCGGGTACCCCGTTCGGAGTGTGGGACCCCTTTGTGGGTGTTTTGATGCCAGTCCCCTATTTATTTAGTTCAAGTGGATAATTCTACCCGAATGCTGTCCAGGTATCCCCCGTTCGGGACGTCTTGGACCTTTCTGATTCCGTTGGGCTTCCTGTTTTCCATGAGCTTTCTTTATGCTTTGGGCCGGGTGTATTGGGCTTGGGCCCAATACCCCAACAACTCCTATTTAGGTAATAAAAAATAAAAACACACGGAGTATATGTTATTCCTATTTTAGAATTTTCAAATGTTTTAGAGCCCGTTTGGTAGGACAAAAATCGGCTGTTTTGGCTGATTCTGCTGAAATTTATGAAGTTCTGGCTGAAGTGGCTGCTTTGGCTGTTTCTGCTGATTTAAGTAAAAATTATTTTTAAAATATATTTTATTAATAAAATTAAGAAAAACTTATATGTAAAAATAGCTAAAATGGTCATCTACAGTAACTTCAGCCAATACAGCCAGAAAAGTAACACCAACCTTACTTTTTCTGCTTATTACACTATTCAGCACATGAAAGTAAAAGTTATGTGTTTGGTGAAAAAGTTGGCTGATAAGCCTGATAAGCCAAAAAATGAGGTTACCAAACGGCCTCTTAGTATTTCGCCGAGTAATACGATAGTATTGTGCACTTTATAGTGTATATAAAGTAAGAAAGCGTATACGGAGTATTATAACTTCTTTGGGTAGGTCACACCCCCCCCCCCCCCAACCCCCCAAGTGAGAAAATCATTTTGAGAAAATCTAAAAGCAAGTCAAATAAGTATTTTAACTGGAGTAAGCAGTTCGTTGTTACTTAATAATGTCTTGATAATATTGATTCTTAAAAGCTATAGAAATAGAAAGGTGAATTACTGAATTATATCTTTTCTCAAGCACTAGAGAATATACTGGTCGATCACCATCAAAATATATATCCATCAAGAAAAGTATGTACGTGCAGGTAGTGGAATTTATGATACATTTCTTTCCAATGAAAGTTAACAAAATATTAGATGTAAACTAAATATGCAATTGATGTTATGTAACTGGTAAGATAAAGAATTGACAACTCCGCAGTCCCTAATTTGTATTCACGTTTAATTTGGTCCCGTAACTTCTTTTTGGTAGACTTTGTAGTCTCTCTTTAATTTGGTCCCGTAACCTTCTTAATTAATACTTCCTCTGTTTCTGTTTCTTTGACACAGTTTGACTTGTCAACATTTAAGGATTTTTTTTACTAAGTGGTAAATTTTACTGTTTGAACACCATTTCACACTGTTTAGACATTGTTTGGACACTGTTTGGACACTGTTTGACAATATTTTGCACTGTTGGGCACTGTCTTGTTTACGAAATGAGAAGTGTGGCATTCATTTTGACACTTCTAAAAAAGGAAAGTGTGTCAAAGAAATAAAAATGGAGGGAGTAGAAAAATGAATTTGTTGAATTGAAATTTGCTTATAAAAAAAAATTCAAGGATAAAGCTAATTGTGAAATATTAAACTCGTAGCCCCGCATAATATAAAAGCTGGGGGATTAACTTTAACCCATTAGAGCTTGATAAGTCTTAATAACGTGTACGTATTAATCTGTTAAAACGAGTAACCATTTTGTATGCATATTAAGAATCTCTTCGGTGATTATGTTTTGCGGCATATCAGTTTATCAATCAAAATTTTCACGCGCTGAGTTGTATATTAATCAAAATAAGTAATGTTAGAGTTATTTTTTCTGAATGGATTGACATAAGCTTCTATCATGACATTTTAGCTATATATTTTTCATATAATTTTTTCTTTATTTTATTAACGAAATATACTATTATAAATGTAAATTTTGCAGTATTCGATCATCAGAGTCAGTCAATCCATCTACTTTAGTCTAATTTCATACTACTGAGTTTCAACATCATGAGCGCTTTAATCAATTTGAGTCTTGCCAAAAGGGCTCTAAGTCACTTCATACTTAATGATAAAAATATAAACCCAAATAATTGAGCTGTCCTCTCAAGTCTGAATAGCAAAAAAAGAAGATAAATTTTGAGTATATATTACCTCCGTCCCAATTTACTTAGTCATCTTTGACTTTTCCAGTCAAAGAAGGTAAAGATTGACGAATTATTTAACTAATATATTTATGCAAAATTTAATAATTTTATACATTTATGATAATATTATTTAACAAAGAACATTTTATATCATTTTCATATTATCAATACTTTCTCAATACAAACATATAATCGGTCAAAGTTAGACGTCATTAACTTCAAAAGTCAAGTTTTACTAACTAAAATGGGACGGAAGGAGTACAATATAGAGCAAGTTATTAAAAGTGAACTGTCGTATTCTGAGCTAGAAAGACAACGAAATACAGAGTTTAACACGGAGCAATCCATACAAATACTAGGACACATTATTATCTACGTGGTGTAAATTACACAACACAACAACCATTATTCCCCAAAAAAATGAAGAACATATTTTTTTAATTTTTGTTGTGGAATTTTCAAATTACACAACACTTCAAACACTTCAAAATCTAGAGATACTAGTCGGTTGTGGAATTTTCAAAAACGGCCTCCAAGTTCAAAAAAGTTACATAGCTAGTTTGTGAATAATAGAGCTAGCTGGAGCTGGAAGACAACTATTTTCAACACAAAAACCCACGGGTGCTCAAAAACTCCTTAAGCATTTGCCGCCATACCCCACTTTAAGCATTTGCCTAGGAAAAAGACATACTCTATTTTTAAATACTCGCGTGTTTACAAATCTCAAATAATGAGTACTACTTTGTATTCATTCACTTTCTATTTAATATAGGTGTTTTTTTTACGAAATAATATAATTTTAAAACATGCTAAATATTTTGTACTGGATGTATATTAATTAAAATCATTGTTCATGATATCTCGTCTAGTCACCATAAAATGAATGAATCTCCACCTAGTCACCTAGACGCTTCAGGACACGTTTGAGTGTGTTGAGATTATTCATTTTTTATACAAGCTAAGCAAGATTTTTCAAAATCGTAAGAGGTGATTTTTAAATATTTGTAATCACTAATCAGTATCCAAAACTTACACAGCTATAACCTTTCAATAAATTTTATGAGATTGACACGATACAAACCAATAAAAGATGAATAGCTTATCAATAGTTAATACAAAATACATATGAAACGTAGAAAGAATTTTCAAGGAAATATTTTTCATATACCATTGAAAACCCTAATGCCCTCTTTACAAGCTTAGCAGGAGCTTGACTAATTAAATAAGAAATACGGAGTAAGTACAAATAAATCGGCCAGTTAATAAATCTAACTTATCAAGAAACGTTATTTAATCAGTATTGTAAAATGCAACATAAATATCACTCATACCGTTACAAAATACTGTCTCTTTATGAGTTTTTAGCAATTTTAAAAAATGTGTGCAGAAGTTTAAAAAAATAGGATTTTTATATTGCATAACTGCAATAGTATTGTACGCTATATTAAACATGCTTCAAAATGTGGTCTCTATATGAACAACTTTTTCTAGATTTGTTTCCAGAAAAAAATTAAACAAGTATTTCCGGATAATCTAAAAAGAAAATTAAATGGACAATTAATAGGCAATTACTTTACACTGGAGCGAGTTACTCTTGTAAATGCTAGAGAATGGCATGGGTTGTCACCATCTATATACATATGTTTTATCCATCAAGGAAAATACGAAGTACGTATCAGTGTAATTTATTACCCGTATGCATTACTTTTGAAAGTTACAAATATAAAATTGATGTAAAATTAATATACAATTGATGATATGTAACTGTTAAAATAAAAGCATTGACAACTTGCATTGGGTTAAAGTTTATTGATAATTATAACTCCGTCCAGCTAATTCCATTCATATCCAATCAATTTCAATTAAATATTACTCCGTAAGTTTCTGTTGAGAGCTTTTGGTACTACGGCCGTCCTTACTTTTGTCTTCAGGTTTGATTTTATACAAATTTTAATACAACATGGATTTGTAAAATTGGAACTCCCTTAGCTAGCTAGAATAGAGAACGGAAAAGACTAAAGGAGTGTTTGAGTTTGCTTAAAAAAGCGCTTTTCAGCTTTTGACTTAAAAAAAGTTGAAAAGAGTGTTTTCAAATGACAGCTTCTGCTTAAATTAATCACTTAAAAGCTAAAAGCTGGAAGCAGTAGAAGGGTGCTTTAAACTGCTTCTCACTTTTTCTATTACACAAAAAGTAATTATTTTACCAAACACTATCAACTTTTACTTTTCCAGAATCACTTTTTTCTCAAACACTGCCAACTTTTACTATTAATTACTTTTCCCAAAATCACTTTGAAAAATCACTTTTTTAAAGCTGAAGCAATTGCAAACACTCCCTAATTACCCTAATTATTACGTACAATATATTTTCCCATAAAAAAATCTAGTATTGACTAAAATATTAAGCTCACACTCCCATGATATCAAAATCGAAGAAGCTTCAACAGCAATTATATTCCGTCTTAGCAACGAACACACATATACTATAACATTGATTTTAAAAAACGAATAACCGTTTTATGAGACCTATTAAGAAAGTGTTTAGCAAATGGCGTTGTTTCAGCAAAAAAGTGAGGAGTTGACCACTTTTAACGTTTTCAATAAGTGAAAATGTTGTTTAGTAAATAACTCTTCGACATTAGTGTTTTTGAATGGAACCGCTGAAATGAAAACGTTGTAAACACAAGAGTTTAGAGTTAGCATTTTGAAATATAACGTTTTCTATTAGTTTTTAAGACTAAACAGTTAAATTACCAAACATAATCTGAACCTGCTGATTGAATTCGATAATCAACTTGTTCCGCTAGTCAAATTCGTCAATTGAATCCGCTATTAATAATCCACCCATCTAATCTGCTATCCGCTAAATGTCAAACTCATCGTCTCATTCCGATCACACAAGCAATAAAATAAACGATATAGAGCCAGTGATTAAAAGTCATGTGTCTTGTATTTCACTATTTTGAGCTAGAAAAACAACAAAATACAGAGTTTAATACGGAGTAACGCATACGACATGATACACATTATTGTACACCTAGTATAAATGACACAGCACTTGACCCCATTATTCCCAAAAAGAAAGGAAAAAACACATAAAAATAGAAGCAGCAGCTTCCAGCTTCCATTATTATATACTGTACGATGATGGAGTGTACAAAGCTTTTAGCGATGCTTCGATTCTTCATGTTCTCTTATTTAGTACTAACCCCATCCTACCTCTGTGTTTTTTCTTCCAGAATTCATAAATCTCCGGTGTTAATGAAACTGGAAGCTAAGGATGTTTCCCACGTTTCATCAAAGTTGAATACCAATAAGCCACCGGAAAAGCTCTGGTTCAACCATAATGTCACTTTGACGGCCACCCTTTCCGTCGGCTCGCCGCCGCAGACGGTTACCATGGTCCTCGACACAGGGAGTGAGCTCTCCTGGCTTCACTGTAAAAGCTCCCCAAACGCGGCCTCCCCTTTCTCTCCCTCGCTCTCCAGCTCTTATTCTCCCGTCCCCTGTTCTTCCCAGACTTGCACGGCCCAGACCCGGGATTTCACCATACCCGCTTCCTGCGACCCGAATAACCTCTGCCACGCCATCCTCTCCTACGCTGATTCTTCCTCCGCCGAAGGTAACCTCGCGACGGAGAATTTCCGGGTCGGCGATTCGGATCTCTCCGGCGTGGTGTTCGCGTGCATGGACTCTGAGACCAGCTCCAACCCGGATGAAGATGCCAAGACTACCGGGTTGTTGGGTCTGAACCTGGGCGCCCTTTCTTTCGTTTCTCAAATGGGTGCTTCGAAGTTCTCGTATTGCATTCCGGGTCCGGATTCCGCCGGCGCTCTTCTATTCGGGGAGACCCAGTACCCGTGGCTGAAGCCTCTGAGTTACACTCCTTTGGTTCGGGTGTCGACCCGATTGCCGTCTTTCGACCGGGTTGCATATACGGTCCAGCTGGCAGGAATCAGGGTTGCGAATACGGTTTTGGACATACCCGAATCTGTTTTGAAACCGGACCATACGGGTGCGGGTCAAACCATGGTGGATTCGGGCACCCAGTTCACTTTCCTGCTCGGCCCGGCCTATACTGCTCTCAAAGACGAGTTCACAAAGCAAACCCAAGGGGTGCTCACGCCGTTGAACGACCCGAATTTCGTATTCCAAGGGGCAATGGACTCGTGCTTTCTTATCGGGTCAAACGGGCCGAGCTTTGACGTTTTGCCATATGTGACCCTGATGTTTGATGGGGCGGAGATGAGTGTGAGTGGGGCGAAATTATTGTACCAAGTTCCGGGTATGACCCGGGGAAGTGACGAAGTGTTTTGTTTGACATTTGGGAATTCGGACTTGTTAGGGACAGAGGCTTATGTGATTGGGCACCACCATCAACAAAATATATGGATGGAGTTTGATCTTGCCAATTCTAGGATGGGATTAGCTGAAATCGATTGTGAATCTGTAGCTCAAAGATTGGAATTACTGAATTAGGCTTGTAATTTTTTCGACTAGTTTGGGTTCATTACATAGAAAAAGATGAAACTATTAATTTAAGGCATGCCTACATACTTAAGAATATATGTTAGTGTGATGAAGTAAATGAAATTAAGTCATCTAGTGTCCCTAGACATGTGTGTAATTACTTGTTATACATTCCTGGTCAAAATCATTAATAAAACATAAGTTATACATTTGTGGTCAAAATATTTAATATAAGTTGATGTATACAAAGAAACTAAGTGCCCGTTTGGTAATACCAAAATGAATCGGCTAATTCTGTTGATTTATGAAAAAATATATTTAAAATATATTTTATTAATAAAATAAAGAAAAAGTTATATGTAAAAATAGCTAAAATGATCATCTACAGTAACTTCAACAATACAACAAAAAAGTAACTCCTACCTTACTTTTTCTTATTATTATTAAGCAATTCAGTGCGCGAAATCAAAAGTTACGTGTTTGGTGAAAAAGTTGCTGATAAGCCGAAAAACAGGTTTACAAAACAGGCTCTAAGTATCCTTGTTTCAACTTCTGTACATACTTATAATTATGAGAAAATCAAACTATTGTCAAGACTCGATATCTAAAACGATAGGTATTGTTCAGTGGTTAATTTGCAATGATTCTTGATAATATCTACAAATTTGGTGTGTTAGATAAGAATATATCATAGTGTGATGAAGTAAATGAAATTAAGTCATCTAGTTTCTTTAAGCAGTAAGCATGTGTAATTGGTTGTTGTAAATCCCTTGTCAAAATCTTAATACTATCGTATAACATAAGATATACGAAGTACTATCGTCCATCCCTAATCAAAGTTTTTAATATAAGCTGGTGGATACTGGATACAAAAAAAAACAAAGTACCCTTGATCATTATAAATGGGACAAATTTGGTCTCTACTTCTATACTTCCAACTATAAGAAGGCCAAACTCACCAGTGTCAAGTCTCGATATTATAACGATCATTTTAATTTAATTTAGTGGTTATATCATTCGCAATGAGTCTTTTTTTGCAAAGCTTTCTAATCTATTACTCCCTCGTATCTAATTAGTTGTCCCATTTTCCTTTTTACGTAGTTTAAGATATAATTACTATAGATGTTATAAAAAGTAAGAGTTTTTTGATAGTATAGCAGTACTGTACCCGTTTTTTGAGTGGGTTTCTTTCCAAAAAGGTAAATGAAACAATTAATTTGATATGTCCCAAAAAAGAAACTGAGACAGCTAAATAGATACGGAGTATATATTATGGTATATTTGTTCTATGTTAAAACCAATATCTTGAACTAGGATGAAACTCGAACCTCGAATTAATTTCACTTTTGGTCTTATGAATTTTATGTCAATTCCATATTTAGTCGCATTTTTCACTTTGTCAACTTTTGGTAATTGATTGATGTCTTTTGACAGTTTGTGGTTTTTCTCCGGCGATTTTAACCACATGAAACATTAGCTGAAAGATCATATATGGACGAGAACATAATAGTCAAAAAGTGGATAAAGCGAAAGACATCCACTAAATTTGATACACGGAGTAATATCATTATACACGACTCTTTTTATACACGGTCTTGCGAACATTCTTTGTACGTAGTACATTCTTTATGAGTGGATAATCCACTGTGGATTTGTGTCGTCTCTACAAATCCATTTTTTAGTAGCCATAATTACTGTTTTATGTTGTCTGCTAAGTAGCACGGAAACGGGAAACGGGAAACGTGAAACGAGAAACAGGAAACTCGAGAAACGTAATTTCTAAAAAAATATAGGACACGAAACGTGGGGGAAACGCGTAAATATTATAAAATATAATGATATATTTATAAATTTTTTTTAATATATGTACACAAGTTTTTCCATATGCACATGTTTTTTTAATATAATTTGTTTAGTAACCAAATAATAAAATCACTCTACATGTTCGAATTTAGATATTATTTCATATTAGTACATAATTAAACATAAAATGTACGGAGTAATACATTTCTAGCAATACATTGCGTTACGAAATGTAACAAGTGTTGCCGCTGAGAAATACCACAAAAATTCACTATAAAAAATTATTTTCCACCACAGAATCTTTTGAAAAAGAAAAAAAAATTGGAATCCGAGGTTTCCGAAACGTAGTGAAACGGGTTTCCAAATTTTTCTTAGTTACGGAAACGGTCCCGAAACGGGAATTTGAAGTTTCCGAGTTTCCGAAACGCTCCTGAGTTTCCGAAACGTGGAAACGTGAGCCATTGAGAGTTTCCATGTTTCCTAGGTTGTCTGTAGTGCTTTATCGTGCAATATTACGTGGGTTCCATAATAAACTAACTAACTAATGGGTAATGGGTTGTAATTTTAGCATGTAAATGATTGTCTTAGACGTCAAATTATTTTGACTATGAAAAGTCTGCACGGGGACAGCAAAACCGTGTTCTAATCCTCCCGTTGGCAACTTGTTTCACATTTAGGTTTTGTTGCAATCACTTGTGCTTAAATAAAAGCACTCTTTGTAAAATAGTGATTAGTAGTAAAAGTTGGTAGTGTTTGATAAAATAAGTGCTTTTTGTGTAATAAAAAAAGTAAAAAGTAGATTCTACTCGAAAACCGAAAAAGTAAAAATTGCCAATGTTTAATAAAATAACTGCTTTTTTCTTTTAAAAAAAACCAAAATCACTTTTCTTAAGTAATTGCAAACAAGCCCTTAACCGTCAACGTTGTTAAGCCTTTCAATGGAAATACGGAGTAACATACTCTACAAATAATACTCTGTACAAGGGATGAATTATAATACTCCGAACTCTTGACATAGAAATACATAAAAGCTAAAAGCTTTTAATTATAATTAGTTTTAGTTGATATATATTGATTTAAAGGATGAATCCAACATGCTTTGCATTATCTCCTACTAGCTAGGTAGTGTGTAAAAATAATAATAATATGTTTTTCAAGCTTTTGATTAAAAAAAGTTGAAATCACTGTTAAAATTTTCACTTGAATTAAACATTTAATAGATAAAAATTGAAAGCAAGTGAATGAGTGCTTTAAAGTTTAAACTATTTCACATATTTTCTATCATACTTCGCATAAAAAAGGCTTACTTTACCATTACACTTTCAACTTTTAAATATTCAAGAGCATTTTATTCAAACATTATCAACTTTTACTATAAATCATATTCTTCAAAATCACTTTGAAAAATCATTTTTCAGAATTGAAACAATCACAGACATTTCCTAAATTACTGTGTCCGGTGTGTCCACTATTCAAATCTGTTACTTCCATTATTGTTTATTCCATTTCCCCTTGTAGGGAGTATTATTTGCAGAGTATGTTATTTTCTCTATAATAGAAATGGGACGGTGGACCAATTAAGCACGACTGGAGAGGGAATCTTATTTTTCTTTTGGATGAGAACAGTTGTAGTGATGAGCTTTAACACCAATTTGTAGTATTTGTGCAGCCCGCCCGCCCGCCTTCTTTAGTCTCGCTGTCACTGACATGAACGACAGAGTAGCTTAAGAAACAAAGAAAATGTACTACAGATTATGACTGATTGATAAAATGATGATCAATGAATGAATGGACCGAAATGGAATTGTTAAAAATTCAACCTACCAAAATAGAATATGATGAAAACTGATGAACATTCGGCAATTCCTTTTAGGGCCTCTTTGGTTTGGGGTGCCGGAACGTGATGTAAGAAATGTTAGATGTTCATGTTTGTATTGCAGGGTTAAAAATTTGGGAAAATTACATTTGATGTTTGGAACATAAAAAAAAAAGATTTTAAGTGAAGAGGGCGAGTAGAGGAAGGTAAAATAACCTCACCAGTATGCATAACATGGAGTGATGTACCATTTGCTACTATAATAAAATGTGAATTTTATATTGAGTCACGCACTCATGCAACTTAAATTTCAACAATGGATCTTAAATTTCAACAATGGATGGGGGTATACGAGTATGTGTTTTGAGACAACAAAGTGAACTCCAAGGGTCTCCTTTCTATTGTAAGGGATGGAGATGACATAATTCATTAAAAATAGAAATAAATGGGGTTTTAAAAGCGAACATAAGTTACAATGATTCTATTATTAACAAAATATTTGGATGAGAAGTCATGTGTGCTGAGGCACCTGGGTCAGGATACCACACGATGTCAGATGCTTCAGGAGCTTGAGCAGCAAGAGGAGGTGCAGTCGGTCGAACAAAACGGGACGGACAAGTGGCTGCAGAATGACCAGGAGCATAACATATTTGACAGGCTACAAGAGGACGGACAAGAGCTTGCAATATCACGGTCAATAAAGGAAGCAGATAAAGAATACGTATAAAAATTCGACTGACCAGATCGATATACTTGCTGAACCAGGAGCCCCACGAATGCCAGCATGCGGTGCACCCCTGAAAAATAGCCTGGTGGGGGATAACCATAACCAAACGGTGGGACATAACCATGACCGGGTTGAGGTGGGTCGTAGCCCCAGCCACGCTGCCCTCGTCCCCCTCATCCTCACTGCCCGCGGCCACCCCGGCCGCACTGACCGCATCCCCTATGCGACTAACCGCCTTGGTGTGGAGGCTATGTTGTAGCCTGCGCTTGCGCCTGGCCAGCAAACGCCTGCGCATGATGAGGCTTCTCCTCAGAACGCATGTACTGAAGGTTCTACTCCTGTTCAACCAATTTGGTCTGAAGCTTTTCAAACGTAAGCTCTCCGAAAATAGGCCAACTGAGGTAATAAGAGACTCATTGTCCCATCCAAGACCACGTAGGATATATTGGAACAATTCACGAGTAGAAATAGGAGCATTGATGGTAGCTAATTTATCAAGTATAATTTTAATGTCTCTAAGACAGTGTTCCATGGACTCATTACGAGCTTTTCAAGAGTGTGACAGTTGACGTTTTCATTCCATGGAACATGCAAGACTAACAGACATAAATGAGATTGCAATCGATCCCAAATAGCAAAGGAATTCTTTAATTCATGCACCTCAATGAGGCGAAAAGTCATGAACGAACAATTTGATCCGGTTTTAACTGATGACAGTATTCTGGATTAATTATCTCACGATGATAAATATCATAATCATGGGGGGAGCAGGAATCAAACCATCTAAGATACCCAAAAACCCAAAGACGACTCAAGCTGAGTACGCCAAGACAGATAATCCTCTACAACGTCTAATTTGGTAGTAACAATATTTGTAACATTTAGTGCGGAAAACCAATATTTTTAACCAAATGAACCAAAGTAAAAC